TTCACGCAATCCATCCATCTCTTTCTAGGTCTACCTCTACCGATGTACCCTTCCACATTCATAACTAACGTCCGTCTTGTTACATGCGATTCATCCCTTTTCATAACATGACCATACCATACTAACCTTTTACTCCTTATTTTCTCAACTACTGGGGCTACTCTCAAACTTCCTCATTTCGTATCTTATCCATTCGTGTTACCCCACACGACCATCTTAACATTCGCATTTCCACTACATGAATGCTCCTTTCATCCGTCCCTTTTACTGTCCAACAATCAGATCGGTTTAAGGAATATAAGGAATATACAACACATTTAAGGAATATACATCATCTTCCCGGAATCTGTTATTTTTCTTTTGATATTACAGACACCAATTTTATTATATGTATAGATGATGGTAAAATATGGATGTATTAGGGGTTCGTGTACCGCGGCAACGAGTACGAGCAGCTGCAGGAGTTCAAGGAGCGGCTGCTGGACGAGTGGCCCGACGCAGAGGTGCTGCCGCGCCTCGACCCGCCCGGAGACGACATCACACACTCCGACGGACAGTGTATCCTTTGCAAGTTACTAACACATTGAAGATATATAAACTAGACATAGTGAACACAGAAGATAGGCGTGAAGTGGAAGCAATTCCGCGTACAGTCTAATGAGTGTGGTAAAGGAGGCCTAATTTAAATCCCTTTCCCTTTCCACCCTTTTCTTAAGAGGAAGGGATGGGAAGGAAAATTGGATTTGACGGTGGATAAGACGTACTGGAAGGGGAAATATCCTCTTTATGTGCCTCTCCTCCGTCAATTAAGGGTAGGCAACGCATCTGCAATTGCGGATGTTTATGGGCAGCGGTCGCTTTCCATTTCGGCAGATACAAGTGGCCGCTTGCTCGTTGCTACCTTGTGATATATAAAAAAAAATTCCTTCTCTATGTTTTTAATCTTTTTGTTAATAGTATATCTGTACGTATTGCTGTCTCTGTTTGATTATAAAATAAAATAAGAGATGGCATATCGAAAACTTAACTTTGCGCGTGCAGTACGTAGATGACCTTGAACCGCTAAGTTATTTGAAAAGAATCCTTATGATTTTGGTAAAAATGATGTTTTTAATTTGTTATTGCGTTTTTATCATTTGTGTTATTTTGTGGAAATGTGAGGAAGAAGTGATATTTTACAATATAATGACGAGAAATATTAAAGACTTTACTAGTCTTTGCGTATTAATCAGTGTGTCTAGTTAATTGTTTTAATTTAAAATTATATTTCTTTCGTGGAAGTTTAGACAATTTGTTCTGTAATGGATTCCCTTAACCAGTGTAAGCAGATCTGCAGATCAATGCAGTGGAACCCGTGATGGGGGACAAGTTAAAGCGGCTATCAGGTCGGCCCGTCGCTGAACAAATCCTGCAGTACTACAAACATAATAATGTTGACAAATTCGTGTTTTCCAGACCGTTTCATAAACCGGGTAAGTTTAATATTAATAACTAGCTGTTCCTTTGTGGCTCATTAACTTCATCTAATTTGTTATATTTGTAAAGCTTTCCATTGTAAATGTCAAAATTAATAAACTTAAATGAACGAAGGCCATTACAATTTGCTGAGAATTGTAACCATGGTAACCTTTTTTATTTATTTTTTCAGTTAGCTCTTTCCCGCGTAACATTTTTTATTTAAAACACTCATTCCTATGTTTAAGAGCGTGAAAACATAGCATATTGCGTGATTAAATTTAACGTTTTTCAATAATAAAAAAAAATTATTCAAATGTGTATTTACGTCTTATTAGTAGAGATAGTATTTTGTACTAGTAGAAAAAATATCTTATGATTATTATTTTTATATTGTTTTCAGATGATTCGGTGACAGGATCGAATGAGGACGTATCTAGTCAGAACGAATTTGCGACTAGATGGCTGGAGCGAACGGAACTAGAAATTAGTGATAAATTGCCCGGTGAGTATGTTTAATTACATCTACTTAGTTAATTATTTAATATTCTGAAGAAACATAACTTACAGTCAGACAAAAAAGTCAAAGATGCAGTTATTAAGGTACTTGACTGGATCACAAACGCCTAGGTTCAAACCCTGTCATATATAGCACTGATCTTGAGGTCTGTAAGATTAGAATCTCGTTTATCTGATCCCACGATGAAAATTTTTACAAGATACTCAAAAGTTCTTAAAGAAGCGAGCCTATCATTTCCTCAAAGGCCG